AAAGAAAAATGCACAATGAAAGTTGTGAGTTTCAGTCTTATTCAGGGATCTTACCAAGGACTATAGGCAGAGAAAGAGCCTCTCAGATAGCTCTGAGGAATTGCTCTGAAGAGATAGGAGAGGAGCAAGATAAATCTTTGGTGAGGAAATACATGTAGTGAAGCGTACACCTTGGTGAAAAATGACTGCACTCACAAAGAACAGGTATCTTTAGTTAAACTAATGATTTAGTGCTTTTCGATGATGTATGGGAAGAAGCAGGAATCTCAAAGTCATTGAAATATTTCTTGAGGTACATATCTTAACTATCTGTGGACCATTTATCCACACTGTTGGTGGGTAACTAGTTGAAGATGAAAGAAATGTTGCTAAAGTCAGATGCTACCAGTAATATGTAGAAAAATCCTTTAACAGAATTTTAATTTTTATTGAAGTATAGTTGATTGACAATGTTAGTTTCAGGTGTACAGCAGAGTGATTCAGTTATACATATATATGCATATATATACATGTGTCTATTTCTGGCTTGTAGATAAAATTTCTTTTTTTTTTAGATTCCACATAATAAGTGATATTTGTCTTTCTCTGACTCAATTTCACTTAATATGACAATCTCTACATCCATCCATGTTGCTGCAAATGGCATTATTTCAGTTTTTATGGCTGAGTAATATACTCCATTGTATAAATATAACACATCTTCTTTATCTATTCATCTGTTGATGGGCATTTAGTTTTTTCCATTAACATCAACCTTTTAATCAATGTATTAACCTTTTAGAGGATACCACTTTTAAATATTGTCCTCTTTTACCTCCACCTTCCTCATATCCCTTCCACTTACCCAACCAGGTGCTCTGTTACACAATGAACCCTCTTTATGTCTATATACAACATTACAGTGGCTTCTTAACTTTTCTGCCCCCTATGTAAACAGCTAGTTATCTATAACATTTATCAGGCACTCTTCTAAGCACTCTGCACATATGATCTCATTTATTGCTGGGCTCTGAACCTGGAGCTGTTGTTATTTACCCCATTGTGTGGATGTGTGTTCTGAGGAGTTAAGGCTCTTACTCTAGACTACATAACTAATCAGTGACCAAGCCAAGATATCAGCTGAGATATTTGACTGAGAACCCTTACTTGGCATTGTTCTCCTGTTTATATTCTCTCCACACTGAAGAGGAGGTTTCCCTTGTATGCTTGTCTTTAAAGGCAAGAACTTTTTCTCGTGGTGAGTCATATTATCTCTTCACATATATAAGTCCCTAGGACAATAAATAAGGTGAAACCCACATGCCTAACTTGTAACTCAGTATCACTGCATTACAATATAGTAGTTGTTGTTCATCATCATGATTATTGATCATTAAGAAAAGGATAAAATACGTTGAATATATTCCACCTCAGAAGACAGAAGAGTTGATAATACTGTTGAAATATTCATTATGGTTCAAGACACCAAAATTTGAAAGGAGCAAATCCTCTACTAGTTTGGAAAAACCCTACTTAGTAAGAAGTCTTCCTTATAGACAAATGATCAAAATAAATACCCTTTGAGTTCCAGTTGACAGTTTTATCATATTCTGCTTACACAACTTACGTATCTAAACAGAACATTTTTCTTTCAAAATTTACACTCAGCTATACTGTTCTTGTTTCTCGCCACTCCTTGTTGGAATAGTAATAAAATACGGCACTATGTGGGTTACTTGACAAAGTAATTTAAAACCTCAACATGGTTTTACTACAGCTCTAATGCCCTTAGTCAGCTGATGGCTGGAGATTAATGTCACAGTACGTGGATGTTTGATACACCAGCCTTCCGGGTTTGGAACATTTGGAAAATGCTCTGGGCTCAGCTGGGCATTTTGTTGTCGTAGGTCTCAAAGGGAAGAGAAGCACAAATCTGCTGGGCCTCTGCTGAGATGGGGTTTAAAGATAGGCCTCTCGTGCAGTCAGACTTGATTTAACTGAGAAAGAAAAACTTTCAAACTGAAAATACTGTTTCAGAGTTAAATATCACAAGACACTGTGTACAGTATTATATGATCATCAGAAAGTCATTGTGTACAATCACCATTTTCATCGTGTGCATTTAATAAATTGCAGGCTGGTTGTAATGTGGTCTGGTCATTATACATAAGGGAAAATTTGCCTCTTCAAATCTCTTTAAAAATTGAAACTGATGCTAGTTACCTTTTAGGAATTGAAACACAACTGAGAGAGAGCATAGATTGAGTTCGTGAACAGTAGAAATTCACTGAATCTTTTAAGTTTTTTTCATGAAAAAGTCCCATGAACTGTATAGGAAAAATTTACAACCCTCAACTGGTTGACTTAAATTTGTGAATTCAGGAAGGACTAAGGAACTGGCAGGTTTTATTAGTTTAAAAACACACATTAAAAATTACATTGAGTAAAGTTATTTTAGGTCTTCATGAAACGTGAGATGATGAGGGTAGTTCTATTCAGCAACTTGACTCCATAGTTTACAACAACAACAAAAAATGAGATTTTTTGAATTTGTTGGGCTTATAAAATTAAGGAAGGCTATTAGAAGAAATCTAAACATTTTATGACTGTTCTGTTATATACACATATATGGTTAATGGAAATTATCAAATGCCTAAATGAATACCAAAGATTATAATTATTAAACTTCAAGAATAAGCCTTTCTTGATTTCCCACTGAAATGTATTGCCAGTAACTAAATATATTCTTAAACATCTTAGTGAAGGAAATATTTTTATGTAAAGGTATTTTATAAGCTGATAAATCTGAAAGCAGAATATATTGAGATGGTAGAAACATGCAAATAAGAGTTCCACTGTTATCTTCTTGTATTTATAGACATGAAAGTTCATTCATTAATTCCCCAGGCGGTATTTCAAGTTTTGAAGTGTAAGCATTTTCTGAAGCTCTGGAATAGAACTTTGATCAGGTACATGATTTGTAATCTTCTGGAATGTCCGAGATAGGGGTTATTTATAGTACAGATGGAACTTGCTTTAAAAGTTACTGATACTCTGAGGAAAATATAATTTATGCTCATACAGTGGTTACGTGCTGAGGCAGTTCAGAGTCTGTCCTGTTAAGAAGATAAAAGTTGCTTTTAAAAGGCTTGAAGAAAGCTTTTTTAAAAATCAAAAAATATTAGCAGTACCCTTAAAGCTTCCTTTAAATTAGGGAAGTATGGCATTTTCAAAGCCAAAAGAAAAGATTGTAAAAATATCATTAGACATTATGAAATAAAATGCTTAAAGATTCTAAAGTTTAATTCTTTTATTGTTGTGTTTTGCTCTTCTAAGGGTAATGCTTTCTATGATGTAATTCTAGCTTTACAAGCAGTGAGATAAAAGAAATGCTTACGTTTTAAGGTTTATGTTTCTTACACAATGGACTAATGGCTGCAGGCCTTTGTAATGTACTGTTGTTCATTAACCAAAATCTCAGAAAAATCCAGTTGACTTCTGTGTCTGCTCTGGATCGGCAATCTGATTTCACAACTTCTGAGACACTAGATGTGCCTTCTGTTTACAGGGGTGCCAAACTGGCAGCAAAGGCAAGAGTGGTGTTGGTTTCTTTCAGATATCTTTAGGGTAGTGCTAGCTATGACTTTTTAATAGTGATGAGTTTGACATCTTCTCTGGAAGCTTTTCTATTCCTACTGATAAGAATAGGATGTGGTAAATGGCTTTGGAGAAACAGATTACTGACACATTTATGTAACTTTGTTTGGGATATAAAATTAGTATGTAAAATTTAGCAATTGAAAATTTTGTTGAATGCATTGAAGATTTTTTTTGAGAAGAATTGAGTAGAAACAAATGATATCTTTTTACTCATGATAAATCACTTTCTTTAGACATTTATTACACCTCCCTACTCCACAATGAACATTAAGTTAGAGTTGGGAACTTTAAAACACACACTCAGACACACACACACAGTAACAGAGCTTACAAACAACTATTCCTGTCCTAAAGTGGATTGTCTGCTTTGTGTACTCTTCACAGGGGCTGGAATGGATTTACTTACCTTCATAATCGTGATAAGCTTTACAAAGAAGGAGGTATAAGGTGGTCAGGGAGCACATGGACAAACAGATAGCCAAGACCTGGCAGGAGAGGAGAAAATTACTGGAAAAAGTGAAAACCTAAAGGCTGAGTTAATCAGTCAGTGCATGATAAGAGGGAAGAATGTTGTAGGAGGGAGCACTTTTGCTTGTGGATTTAGATTGAAGAATGGCAAAAGCGAGCTAGGGAGGGAAGGTACCAGATCAGGGACAACATTTAAACGTTAAGGCAGTCGGACTTTTATGACATTGGGGAACCATGGAAGCATTTGAAGTCATGTAATGTAACTGTTCTGCATTTCAGACAAATTATCCTGTCAGTTGGTTGGAAAATAGGTTGAAAGTGGCAGGAATGGAGGCAGGGTGGACAGTTCAAGGAGCTCTTCCAGGAATCTCTGAAATAGGGAGAGTGGAGCTAGACAAGGGGTAGTGATGATGGAAAAACCAAATAATTAAATTCTTAGGGTGTAGAACAATAAAATTTACTGAATAGTTTGAGTTGGTAACAGGTGAGAGAACATAAGGGTGAAACTCAAGGTCTGGACTAAGCAACTGAGAGACCACAGCAGGAGTGATAGATTTGGTGAGATGACATTTAGTTAAACTTGTTAAGTCATGAGTTTAATTTTTAAAATGTTGAATTTTATTTATATGTATATGTCTCCAGAGGCAGTTAATCTATACGTCTAGGGATCAGGAGACTGATCTTGCCTAGAGAAACATAAAGTCATGAAAGTAATTAGGATTTCTACTAGAGAACATGCAGAGTGATAGGAGAAGAAGCTCTAGACACGTATTTTCAGTAGTATTAACATTTACAGGATGATCAGAGGAGTTTGAGAAGAAGTGAGAGAGACAGGAGAAAAATCAGGGAAGTATGGCATTTTCAAAGCCAAAAGAAAAGCAGCTTTCCAGAACTTGGTAAACAGTCATTGGTTTATTGGTTCATTAATTCACTAATATTCTTTAAGTTCCTCCTTGCCTCAAAGACAACTATGGAAAACCCACAGAAGGGCTCTACCCTCAGGAAACTAACAGTAAAGTGGAGAAACAAATATAAACCAGACAATCACATTGTCTGATCACATTATTTCATTGTAAACATCAATGAGTCATAAAGAGTAAGATTATAATAAAGAGCTGTAAAGGATGAAGCAGGTGAGCTTCTATCTATGAGATCTGGGAACCCCTGTCTAGAGACGTGAACACTGATTTAAAATTTGAAGATAAGTAGGAGCCATTAAGTCACAGAGTATGTGTGGGAGGGGCAGTCCTGACTAGGAAACGGCAAGAGCAAAGGACCTTCTACGTGAGGGACAGAACCATATGCCCTGAGCATTGGGACTTACCCTGAAACTGTACGTTAGCATGAGAACACTCTCAGTTCTCTCTCAGTTTTTTCTGGACTTTTTAAAAAGTAAAGTTAATTTATTTTTAGGCCACCAACTGTGCAGGGTGGGTGGACCTAGCTAGACAGGGGTACTGGAGTTTGGAACATTTCTGTTTCAGGTGGAAAGGTCATTATAGGAAATATGACTGCATTGCTTATTAATTTATTAAATACTTATTAATCCCACTACATACATAAAATACTATGGGGAAGGATGAGTAGCATATTATTCCTTTTAAAAATCATCTGTATCATTACTACTCTGATTTGAGAAATAATTTATATATTCATCCATTTTAAGTATAAAATTAAGCGTTTGGTAACTTTACAAGTTGTCACTTTAGTCGTTAATAATTTTTTTTTACATGAATCAATGCATTTTTCCTCTTGGCTGGCAAAGGATGATCACTCTAGGTGAAGGATGCGTGATGCCCTTGTGAAGTCTTTACTAGGGGCAGTGCTGGGTGCTAGATGTTCTTCCCAGGAATAAATAACACTTCTAAGCCCTCAATTTAAAACAAATGAAGTCACCAGTTTCATTAGTCACATTTTAAGTGTTAATTAAAAGTCCTTTATATATCATTCCTCTTCCTATTTTTTTATTTTCTTTTAATAAAGCAGTTAAGACAAGCTTAGTCTAATATCAATGTTCAAAGACAGTGCTGACTCCGAAGCTCAGGCTGTATTGGTTTCTGGTGATTGTTTAATCTACTCTGTTCATCTATAGATAAGAAAAGTAGCCACCTGGAAAAAATTAACACTTGCATGTTGTCCCACAGAGGGGATGGTTGGTGATAGAACTGAGATTTCAATGTGAGTTCTCAAGCACAGCCCAGAGTTCTCTGCAGTGACCATGTCACCTGTTCTTGGGGGAAAATGTAGTTTAGGAGAGCTTTTTGTCACAGATTCACGATGAAATACCTTGTGAGTAATTTGCTGTTGGAATCTCTCGAATTTAACGAAACTGTCCATGTACGGTGGTCCAGCTTAGGTACTTCCACTTCTGTTTTGTAGCAAAACAGTGTGGTGACTGCTTTAGATTATGAAGCAGTACTTGTATACTTACCAAAGAACAGAATTACGGAAAAAAGTATGCATTTGTGTCTGTTTTGGATGTAATATATATGGTTTATATATTTTTAATAAAATGTTCTACCTTTTGATTCAAAAGGTAGAGATGATTATGCTGCCCTGTTACAGGTATAATTGCAGAGCACATCACATATAAGAATAAAAAGTGACACAGTTGTTTCTTGAATATAGTAGAGACTAAACACGTGTGGACTCACTATAATGCATAACTTGACTCTAAGGCAGATAAAATTGTTTCTTTTGCTGGTAAATGATCACCTAACTTGTGCTACATATAAATGTACATTTGTACATCACCATTTTTAAAATGTAATGAAATATTTGGATTTTAACCAGATAAGATAATCATAGGGTAGATCATCTTTTTCTTTGCCTTTCTGCATGGGTACTTTTATGCTAAATTTTCTTATGCTAACCTTAAGTACAATTATGTAATATTTTCTTCAATGTAAGGCTTTTAATATGTGAAGGCAGAAACACTTTCTGTTGGTTTTGATATTACAATGGCATTTAATATTTGACCAGTTTTCTTATTCAGAAAAAAATTAACAGCAATATGCATTGGAAAACATACTTTTCTATGATATATATGCTAGATTTTGTTTGAATCTGACCAATTTAGAAAGTAGGAATGTCTATCAAATAAAATAATCAATGTACTTGTGTGTTTCATATATTATTCTTTACCTGAAAGGTGTAATAATTAGAGGGCCATTACTGTCCCTGTGAAGTAAATTAAGGTCTTTTTATTTCCTTTTTCTTTCAAGTGACTGCATTTATTTCTTAACCCCTGTGACAAGTGTGGCTTAAAATAATAATTGTACTATTACTAACTAAATATCTGTTGGCAGCAGCAGTACTGGTAATAGCAAAATGTCACAGAGCATTCATTTTCCTCTTGATTTGGTGGGATAGTGGTTATGGAAACAGTGAAATAAACAGAATACTGGAATGGCTAATATTAAAGCTGAATGAAATTTTACTTTGATTTGCTAAAAAGATATATATTAATCAGTTGCCAATTGATAAATATTCACAAAATGTAACTGTTAGACATGCAAACGATTCTCCCTTTCACCATAAGCTAATCAAGATTTAACACACAATACAGATTAATGGAAAAGCACCGTTTACAAAATGAGTTGTCACTTAGATTTAAACATCAGTTTGAAAATGGTAAAAAATAAAAACATTGAAGAGACTAAATGAATAACACCAAACAAATTTGGAACTGTTTCAACAGCTGCGTTACTCACAAATTTGACTAAAATAGTGCGTATAATGACTATGAGAACATTTTCATGTACCACAGAGCTGGAAGCACAAAATGAACTATAATTCTTAATAGGATTTTATTACCTGTGTCATTAAAGTTATTAATAATCCAAATGTATTATGTTTGAGCATTTGGATAGAACACATGATGTAAGTGTGCCCCCAAGTGGCTAGAGGCAAGTGTATAAAAATGTAGAAAAGGAAAAATGGAAAGAGGGCCTTAGCTGGTTACATTCTCTAGTGAATTCCTTCATCCCAGGCAGAGGGTTGTCTTTCTTATTTTTTAAGTTGTTCTAAGTTAGAGGATTCACAATTTCTCCTATAGTTTTTACAAATATTTATTTTTAATAGATACAGGTGGTCAGCTACCTCTGATTCTGAAGTGGTGTGACACAGTAAAAGCACATAAATCAACACAGAAGATTTAGTTTTTCCTTGTGTACATAGTACTTGATTAAGTCAAGCCTGAGTGACTCTGCAAGTATTTGAAAATACATTTTGTCTTTCAAGAGGACAGTGGATCAAGTACGAAAATTTGTATAAGGACAGGACCATGGCCTGAAAAGGTAGTTTGCCCATTTGTGTGATATACGTAAAAACTATTACTTGTTTATAAATTTTGAATCAGTAGGATATTGAATCTCTATAATGTATGTTATAGATTTCACAGAATTTGAAACGACCTTTCCATAGAGCTCCTTTGTAGAGTTGCCAACTTTTGTACTTTGACACAAAGATATTACCCAGTTAATACTCTTCTTCATTTAACTCTCTAGTCGCTAGTCCCAAGATGCGAAGACTTATCCTTTGATCAGTTCGTGCTTCTGGAAAAACTCTGCAAGGACTAAGTTGTTAGTGATCCCATTAGATGTAAGCCTGTACCAGATCTCTGAGGTGGTACACTGTGTCTACTACTGGACAAACCTTAGAAATGAATGAGTTGGGAGTGTTAAAAATCTAAGGCAAGCAGGACTGCAGAACACTCTGAGTCAGGAAGAGAAATCTCAAATAACAGAAAAGGAAAATAACAGTATAACCACATTTGAGCTTTGAATGACAAAGACTGCTTCCTTGAGATACTATAAAAGTAGCAACACGCTCTGTACAATTAAAAGCTTGAATTTTTAATTGAAATGCATGTTTCAACTCTAACCAAATTTAACATTTCTGGTGTCAGTGTGAGTTTCTTCCAGCTGAAATATAGCTTCCTGTATTTTCCATTTTGTTGCTTTCTTTAATTAGTCCCAAATGCTGTATATCCACTCCAACCTTTTTTTTAATTAATAAATTATAAAAGTAAAATCAGAAATAGACTCAATTTTGAGGAACATAATCATTAAAGACATAATAGAAACATTTATTTTCTCTACTAAAATTTTCTCTTAATTAAAATTTATTGTGTAGCACAGCAACTATTTTTGATTGTGAAGAAAAGTTTTTAAAATTGCAATTATAGCATTGGAAAAAAATTTGACAGTTTTTTTTTTTAAGTAATCCAAACTAACCTCTAATTTTAGTTTGGTCATTTAATGTATTTTTTACAATTCTCATAGAACAAAATTTCATAAATAAATATTGATGCCTGTCAATTTTTTGCACAGATTGAGATGAGTTGTGTATTTTTAAAAGATAAGCTATTTCTGACCCCACCCTTTCTACGTTATCTAATAGAGAAACCCTAAAGTCAAGTCAGAGTCAAAATCTAAATTATAGTAATAGTAATATTTCAAAATAAATTATTTCTAGAACATTCTCTTCACACTGATGGAGAAAAGTAGGTTAGAGTAGGAGAATAAAAAGACAAAGCATTGGATGAAATGATAGCATTTGTAATGTTAATTTAAAATCTGAAAGCATTGAATAGCTCCCAGCAAAATGTTGGCTTGTTGACATGTAAATTATGGTCCTTAGCAGAAAATTTCATTGAATGCCTAAACTAAATATTTTCTCTTGCTTTTTTTTGTCCTTACTATTCTAGACTCCTTAACATATTTTGAAAACGAATTTCAAATTAATTTTTCTTACTATAACATTTTTATTTGATTGTGTTTGTTGATAACTCCTTTGTGTTTTTGAAAATGAAACCAGAAACACTCAAGTCAAGGTTACTTATTGAATAATGATCATTCTTACATGTTTAGAATGGAAATGCATTATAAAACAATGAAGTAGTGACACTGAGACAGGGCTACCTACATCCACTTGGGCTACAGCTTGGCAGATTGCTTAATTTATATTCCCTTTATCTCATCTAGTTATGAAAATCTAATTAGCTCTCTTTTCAGAATAGTTATAAATCTTTTACACTAACCTATTATTCCGACCTATACATCACCTTGTACAAGGGTAGAGGGTAAACAATATCAGACATGCTTAAAAAGTGTATGGTGTAAATGGTGCTCACTTTGAAAAAAAAAAAAACTCATCTTTTCTGTTCATAAATAATACAGTTTTGTTTGTAAGGCACCAGATTAGCTTTTAAAAAGTCGGCTTTGACTATTTGCATACCATGGAACTTTTAGAAAGGACCATACACTACTGACAAGAAGGTCAATGTTTCTTATAAAAAAAACTCTTAATTACTCACTCTTACTTCCTACCTCTTACTCACAAAACCATAACATACTAGTGCTAAGACATTGAATTACTTCTTCTCTTGAGGTTTAGAATTATTGTCTCCATCCATCAATTGTGATCATGTTCCACGCTGCTCTGGAATAAAATGTGGGAAATGGGTACTCCATTGAGGACTATTGTTCCACTTGAACAGCTTTACACTGTATTCTTGACCATAGATGACTCCTGTTTTCAATGAGATTGGTGCAAAGAATGTATTATTGAAATCCTCAATTCTAAAGGTAAATTCTGCATCAATGGTTTTTTTCCTAGGGAAAAGTAATAAAATTGCACGCATTTCTCTTGCATGTATAATTTTCCACCAACAGGTATATGTATGTATAGTGAAAACTTCATTTGCAGCTAGCTGAATAGGAGTAATTGACCAACAGAATACCCCACATATATCATCTTTGAATAGTTTCTACAGTACAGGCACGATTACATTATTAGCAGAGATGAATGCCTCTCAGAATCTGGCCAGTGGAAATAACATGGAGAAATTTGCTTTTTTTCCTTTGCCCTATCATTACAAGTAGGCCACAGTGCAGAATTGACTTCCAAGCAAATTCAGTGTCACTGAAATGTATTGTTAGAGAATTACCAAAACACATCAGCTTTCAGACCCAAAGGCATCAAGGAACCCCCATCCTCAATGTCCCAGAGAAATAGAAATGTATCCACATATAGGTGACAATATATTAAAGTTTTTGTATGGACAAGTTTTTGCCTTATAACACTAGTTATATTTCTACATAAGTTAATATCTCTTAAAACTAGACACATCACACAGCACTTTTTTATATCTTGACAAGTGTACGTGAGCAAGTGCAGAAGAAAAAAGGATTGATCAGAAAAGCCCACAGTCTTTCAGATTCTCTTTGATTATTATGTCTGTAACTGCATCAAACACAAACTTGACATTTTGAGTATCTGTAGCACAGGTCATGTGGGAATAAATTTCCTTATCTTCTTTTTTTAAATTCAGGTCTAGAAACTGGTTCTTGATGTAATTCCCTGCATCTTCAAATGTATTTGGCCCTTGTTTAAAAAAATAAAGAAGTAAATGTGAATTGCATTTTAAAAACCATAAAATTGTAAATAATATCTATAAGTTTTAGGATTTTACTTTGTGTGCTATTTGATGTACTCGGTATTGAAAAACCAAAATGATAATAAACAATTATCAGGGATTTACACAGCATCTACTTACCCCTGGGGGCTTCAGGTGGCTAAAAATGTAACCTCTGCATCAAAAAGCCCATGATACAGTAGAAATACTAATGTATTTATCCAACAAAGTGAGTCATAAAGCCTATGTATTTGTCAAAGACTATGCATGTGTATGTGTACATGGGGGTGTGGGTGTGTGTTAATATGAACTAAAAGAAGAGTGGAAATTATAGATGAGTGGAGTACATAATGAGGTGGTATCTGAGCTGGATCTTGAGGAATAGTCAGAAGGGAGAATAAAAATAACGTGAATGAAAGCCAAAAAGTGGCAGGCACATACTACTGTATGATTCCAGCTATATGACAGTCTTGGAAGGACAAAACTACAGAAATAGTAAACAGGTTAGTGGTTGCCAGGTTGGAGGGAAGGGAAGAGGCAGGAATAGGTGGAGCATGGAATTTTAGGGCAGTGAAACTACTCTGCATGATACATTAATAGTGGGAACACCACATGCATTTAGCATCACCCATTGAACTGTACAACACAAAGAGAGTTAACCCTAACCTAAACTATGGACTTCAGTTAATAATGTATCAATATCTGTTCATCAGTTGTAACAAATGTACCACACCAATGCAAAATGTTAATAATAGGGGAAACTGTGGGAGCTGATCTGACAGAGAATATATAGAAACTATTTTCTGTAAACAAAAAATTGTTCTAAGAAATAGACTGTTACTTAGAAGAAAACATATACCCCTTAATTATGACTCTATATTTAATTTGTAACATCATTACAGAATCGTGGTTATATTTTAAGCACATGATAAATGTGTAAACATATAATTTTTTCCCAGCTGAGATGTAAACATATAATTACTTACAGATATGAAGAAAAATATAAGTACTCATTATGGATTAGCACAAATAGCTATTTTTACAGAATAGGACAGCAGATTTGGGATACCCACAAATCTGGTGAAATTGAGTTTGTATTTGTGTTTAAATCAAATATTTCCATCTTACACAATTACATCAACAAGAGCATATAACTAATAATGTAAAAAGTTCTCCAAAAGAAACATAACTCTTCTAGAGAGCCTGACATTGATTAACAGGATCAGTACTAAAGCTCCAGGATGTAGGAAAATTGGAAAAAGGGAGGTCACTATCCTCAAATTCATTCAAGCTATCCCTCTGGAAACTGAATTCAGATTTTGAAGAGCCACTGAGATCTACTACAGTATTAAAAGTTTTTATTAGGAAATATAAAATGCCGATTTGGAATAAAATTTTCACTCCTATCACAATGTTTAAGATAGTAGAGTTTGCAGTATCATTTGATACATCATGCAGAATAGAAATCCCCTATCTAACCACCTCTCATTTACTCATTAGAGCTTTGTTTTAATGTAGGTAGTATAGAGAGGGTTTCGTCTTTATCTTGTAAGATTCTTTCCAGTTTGGATCAGACACATGACTCCAAAAAGTATCATAAGCCTCAGCCTCGTAACGTTATACTTCAAGATCCAGACAGAAAATTATATCTCTATACAAGAATTAACTATGATGGAATTTAAAAAAAAAAGAATCTTACCAGTGTACTCTGGAAAGCAGATACTGAGATGAACTTTGGTTACTTTTTCTTGAAAGAGATCTTTTTTATTGAGAAACAGGACAATGGAGGTGGTTGCAAAGTACTTGTGATTGCAGATACTGTTGAACAGGTGAAGGCTTTCATGCATTCTGTTCTGTTAGGTATAAAAGATGAAAATGTGTAGAATTGTTATTTGTAGGATATTAATGTTGGGCATTATGAACAAGGATCTAGAAATACTATGTCCCTTTGGAAGGCCGTAATTGAGTGGGGAAGTAGAGTAGTAATATTGCAAAGCACAAGTGCTTATTTTTTACCTTGACCTTGTTTTCCTCTGAGACTTACCACCTCTTCATCTTCCACCAGGACCATGTCATAGGCACTGAGTGCGGCACAAAATATAATGCATGTGACTCCTTCAAAGCAGTGGATCCATTTCTTTCTCTCAGATCTCTGTCCACCTACATCAAACATTCTTTAAAAAACCAAAAGTGATAGAATAATGAATCTTACCAGGATCCTTCAAAATTTACATTAAGGTAAACATTTGGAGTGATAAATGAATGCTCTCCTATCTTTAAAAGATTGTCTTTTGATTTTTATTGATGATAAAATATACTTATTTGGCCAACTTGAAGCTCAAGAACTACAGAAAAAGAGACATTTTCTTTAGTTTTTGGTACTTATGCAGACTAAAGTAAAATAATTCATATCCTGGACTTTGAGCAACTGGAAAATTTACAGCCATTTAGAGTTTTAGTAAGACCTCTTGGCCTTAGGGATTTTGATCAACGTCTATTCATACTCTTAAATTAACAGAGCCCACAAGATTGGAAGCTACCATAGTTCCGGTCCTATGATTCTTGCCTGTTTTCTTAGCTCTTCCTACATTCATTCATTCATTCATTCATTTAAACAATTATCATTTGTATTCCATGACTAGACACTGTGCCAGGCCTACGGACAAAAAGATGAAAAGATACAGTCATGATCTTCAAAGAGCTTGCTGTCTTGTAGAGAGAAAAACAAATACATTATTATAATGTAAGGTAATAAATATTCTAATATATAAGATAAAAAGTGAGCCCAGAGGAAGATTTAAGTCAGCCTGAGGGATTATGAAACTTACTCAGAGGATGTGTTTAAAAATCTGACCCTCCCTCTGTTTTTGTATTTTGGTAAAAGGCACCAATGTGAACAGAGCAACTCAATAAAGAAAGTAGGGATTATTCATAATACCTCCCTTTCCTTTCTCTTCCATATAGTACACGTGTAAAATGCAGTTTCTAATTTATCCACTTCTTTCTAACTTCTCTCTTCTTGTACGAGTTATGAACATTCGTCACCAGGGCCACTACAAGAGTGTCCTAACGTGCCTCCCTGTTTCTGCTCTCGCAGCTCTAAAATTGACTCTCATAGCACTGAGAATTTTGCCTTTTTTTTTTTAATTGAATTGTCAAAAAATTTACCAGAATTTTGTCTTCATGTAAATCTTATTCCACCACTTTCCTGCTTACAACATTCCGAAGGTTTCTTTGTCCCTTAGCATCAAGCACAAACTTGTTTTGATGACATCTAAGGCTCTGGCTGTTGTGGTCCACTCCTACCTTTCCGAGCTTAGTTCATACCATTCTTCTTTTTAAAGCCATCCAATCACAAGGCTATCCATTCAGCTCCTTAATAAAAACCTGACTTTTTGCTGTCTCGGCTTTTGCATAGTCCATCTCCTTTCCATGTGACACAATTCCTTTATTACATAAGCCTGCTTCCTTCTCGATTTTTGGGTCTTAATGTCAATATCACCTTCACAACATCATAGCCTCCTTGGGTGTCTGTGGACATTAACTCTGTCCATTGCCCGTTTACTTTCTATTGCATCACTCTCTTTATTTCCTTTGTAGTAACTGTCACAACCGACAATTAAGTGGTTTATTTTCTCACACATTTAATAACTGTCATCTCCCACAAAGGATTTTTGCATATAGTGCCTGTACGAGTCATCAAGGAATGAGAGGATGTGATATGCTTGGGGTAGATAAGTAATTATATTTTTGGAAACATGAAGATTAAGGTAAAAACACTGAGATATATAGCCTGATAATTGTTCATGTATTCAGTTACTTATTGAGCATTTATTATATTCCAGGTACTAGTGATTCAGTCTTGAGAATCTTCTAATCTCGTGGTGGTGGTTGTGTGTGTGTGAGTGTGAGAATATACTTAGGATGTCAGTATATGATAGTAAGTGTTTGGGGTGGGTTGTAATTTGAAATAGTGTGATCAGAAACCACAGAAGATGATAGTTGTGTGAAAAGAATGTTCCAGGTAGACGCAACAAGGGGAACAGCAAGAGCAGATTTGAGCAGGCAGGAGTGAGCCTGCGGTGTCAGGCCAGAAGGAGATTTCCTGGGTCTTTTATTATTTCCTGAGAAGATTAGATTGTATATTGTATCTGTGCTGGTCTATAGGAGACTTTGGGGTAGTGAGTAAACGTTTGTTTGTTTGCTTATTACTATGTTTTGTCACTTTGACCTGAGTCCAGAAGACAGATTTGATAAGGAAGAGACTAGAGGAGAAAAAGTTATGGGGATTTCATAGTAGTTTAATCCAAAATAATATGTACCAGGAACCATCCAACTTGTACAGAGATTTCAAAGGTAATAACTATATTGATGTATTAAATGTCAGTCAACTATCAGCTGACTTATTAAAAATAGTCAAAAGTACAATATATTGTACTTCTCTAGTACTTTACATTTCATGTATTAACCAAGTAAAGGACAGATATATAGAACTAAAATTCAGATATATATACACACACACACATCAATGCAAGTTCACACCATTTAATAGATTGAAAGAGATGTTGCTCATAATATTGAAGGCAGCGTTTAGGAGTTCACTAATAATATGGTTTGAAAATTTAAATTCAGTGTCAATAAAGACTATTAAATGTGCTACTAATTACCAAACCCTCGGCAATTTTAGACTTGTAATATAAATGGAGAAAAAGGACAGAGTTTTGACTTTTATGTTCCATTATGTAAAAATCAGCCAACAAATTTAATTTTTAAAATTCAGTGAACATTGTTATGGAAGCAAGGGTAATAAATAAGCATTCATACTTTTAAATTTTTCGACAGTTATTTAAACTTCCCCATGAACTTATAAGATAGGTATAGTTATTATTCCTGTTTTTCATATGAGCCCTTTAAGCAGCTTGCCCAAGGCTTATTAATTCAATATTTGTTCAAGCTGCTATGTGTACCAGGTGCCATGACAATTTCTTTGTGTATGATAGTTACGCTGTGAAAGTTGTTAAGCTTTGTTGTGAAGGTCATTAAATATAAGTCTACCTACTTAGACTAGAGGTCCCTACCTAGTGTACAGTGTCTGCTGTTAGCTCTCAAACCCTCACCAAGTAGATTGGAATTATCTTTGTTGTGGAGACTTCTTTCCCTGTGTCAGAGAGTAGATCTCCATGTTGTCAAACAGATCACTGGGCAAAATTTTAACTCTCCCCTTCCCAAGGTTTGGTTCCATTCTTTTAATGGATAATCTGGCTATCTCCTATCTTTGATAATTCAGCTTCTTTGTAGTCCGCTATCGATATCAAAACCTATGTGTGAGAGGTGGCTATTCTCTTCAGTCAAATATACACACAACTAATAAGAGATATAACTAGTAATATAACCCTTAGCACACTGTTCTCTTAACATATCTTGAAGCCTCCACTAAACATGTTTCATAGGCTTAGCTTTCTCCCCAGGAAGGGAGGACAAAGATTATTCAGGCTTAGGGTTTTATTCATGCTGATAAAATGGCTTCTGAAAGTCTATCTTAGATTGCGTGCTAGTAATCTTATTTTATAACTCATTTGATAAGCAGTATTTTTTTTTTTCTGTGCACATTGACATGAGAGACATAGGTCCAGGGAACATTGAACATTTCTCTAATGCTATCTGCTCATTAGCAAATCAGACCAATAACTGGAGCTTTGCTTTTATATTGATTATCCTGGATACTATGTTAGCTCTAAGAAAAGTTACATTTTGTTTCGCTGCTGTTCTAGTAATTTATTTTTTATGCATCCCTCTTCACGTTTAGCTCTTCGTCTCAATTTAGATTTGGGGTTTATTTTAGAGGTGTAAGGTATTACAACCTATTGAAACAATTTGGAGATTCTCCAAGTGAAGCATGGAAGAAATAAACACACACACGCGCATGCGCACACGCATACACACACACATACACACACACCATCATAACCATTCTGGGAAAAACAGTAATAGAAATCAAAGAAAAACCTGTTAACTTGCTGATTGAATATCTGGATTAGTCAAGCCTATAGGGACAATTAATGAGGTGAATGGACATGTGATGTAGCTTGAATATCCTTAGTTCCCTAATTAGTTACAGTATCCAGGACCTTAATGATATTAAATGGAACTTGCAGTACTCATTTTGGAAAGGTTTTTTGTTGTATGTATGTTATACATGTTTCCTTAAGTGTGATATTTAAGTAAGGATTCTTAAATGTTTAAAGTAAAAGGGTTTAAATGCCTGCGATGTGTGATGTAACTAAAAATTGACAGACCAAGTTTTTAAGTGACAACTAAACATCAGCTATTCGTTAAACTGCCTGTGGCATTAATACAGGGCCAGCCATCAGAGGTTTATGGCTTTATATTAAGCAGTTGGCTAAACAGTTGAGTTTTATGGCCCATTTTAAACAGTTGGAAACGCTATTGAGTTTTATGTGTTGATGTTAAACAGTTGGCTAAATATTTGCCCACAAAAGATTATTCACATTTTATATCAGAATAGATTATTATGAAATAATGAGTCTTTTATAGTGCTTGGAAAGTCACTGTATACTCTAGGATAGCTAGAAATTAATAATGCTACTGCAGTGAATGTATTTGGGAGAGATGTCTTTACTCATCCTATAAGCTTGTGACTTTCTTGGAAAAATATTTCTGATATCTTCTATGTATTTGACCTCAGTAAATAAGACCTAATGTGAGTAGAAATTTATTTGAAGCTACTCTGTTAAATGGGATTTATTCAAGATACTTGACTGTATCAGAATTGGTGTACTTTTTATTTTCTTATTGAAGTATAGTTGACATACAAAATCACAGTAGTTTCAGGTGTACAACACAGTGATTTGGCATTTATATACATTGTGAATTGACCACCACAATAAGTCTAGACATAAAGTCTTAAGATAGGTACATATGTACATATGTTAGGGCCAACAGGTGGTTCTGCGTCCCCACTATACAGCCATAGCAGGATGGCCTAAGTCTTTGCCTGGTGCCCGGTTCTGAAAATAGATTAGGGCAGATACTTGCAGATAGAAGGGATATGCCCAGAGGTCATTCTGAATCTCTTAAGTGCTTGTGATTAAAAAACAAAATTACAAGGGTTGACATCCATAAGGGATCCTAGCTCTCTAAACTACCTATAATTGTTAATACTGTTATGTATTTTCTACTACGTACATGTGTGTGTAACTTAAAATGCCCACTTGATAATTTTCTAATTATTGAATAATATAATTCTTAAAGTTATTAAAGTAAATTCTATCACGAGAATAAATTAGACATCATCTTATATAGCTTATAATTTTGGTGACATTAAGCATGAACCTACCTGAACAAATAGATACACATGAGTGATTGCTCTGTGAGATCTAGTAGACAATAACAAAGCTAAGGGAATGGAGCTGCTGGATAGACAATCAGACTCACTCCTCACGTGACTCATGCCCCCACAGAAAACACAGTGCACATGATTCAACTTCAAATTCAAAACAGTTAAAATTGATTGCATAACAGAGATTCGCTCCAACACGGTTGAAAATAGTTATGTTACATTTACAAACTCTGCAGCTCTCTGCTGTAATAGTTGCTGACCTCTTTTCCTTGGCTTCCATGTAGTTTCATGTCATTTCAATTCTGTTTTCTAATCGTGGAGCAATTAGGAAGAAATGACTTCTCTGTAATTGTTTGATAAATCCCTGTAAATCTGTAAGCTCTTTGCTCTGAGGAATTATTTTACAAAAATAAAAGGGCTCACATTTGCATTGCATTTTCCTTTTGCATTGTACTTGAATTGTACATCTGTAAAGATGATTAATTTTCCCGTTTGACAGTTGGAGTTCTGGTTTGATAAGAATTCTCAGGTAATTTCCATTAAATTAGATGATACATGAGGATGATACAGTACATTGACGTAGAGAAGTTTTTCATTTTGATGCTACTGTTTAAAATTCTGCAGTTCTCTAAATTAATATGTAAATTAAGTCTTTCATTTTAAATAGTCTTAGGATGATTTATACTATGTGAATACACGTAAGTGCTAATGTGAGTACCTGGGCACTTACTGAAATGAAGTTGGAAGGTACATTATTTTTATAGTTCGTATTTTGAAATACTGAAGAGTTTTACACTACAAAAGCCTGCGTACTTTTGGATAATCCTTTTTAGTACTTCAAAAAAAAGTGATTTAACTGGGAGAATTTATTAATGGATTAATATATCTCAATTGCTGTGACTGAACTTAAAAATGTATTTAAATGATTTAACATAGTTCCTTAAGAAAAAAGTATAAATTGTTGTTTTTTTATGCTTTATAGTAAAATTTAAGTATTTTCAAAGTTTCATTGTCTAAATACTTGTTTTTAGAGAAATTCCCTGCATTTTCTTTCTCACAGACAATGTCTAATAACACACCCTCTTGAGGCAGAGAGGAAGCAAAACCTATTAAGGGAACAAAAGAGCTCAAAACCTGTTTTAGCAGATGCAAAAGAGGTAGCAATTGCATAGTATAGAACATGTTACGTCCAAGTAAGGCCTAACTGAGCTTCACAATCCAGTTCACAAACGTCTTACATTTTCGATACCGTGATAAATAATTAGCAGGACCTTTCTCATTCCTTCATAAAATCCAGCAATATATGAAAGTAGAATAGATCACTTAAATAACTTAAAATGCTTCACAGAATTCAGTACAGATTTACAAAAGGATAGGAAAATGGTGATGTGCCCATGAGAGTCTTAGTGTTCTAATGCAAATATGTTCTATTCAAAATACAATTTTAAAAATGCAAGAGTAATGATATTATTTAGTACTGAGTATAAAATAGATATTTCAGAACATGAACATGGTTTTTTGAGGTTTTGTGTGTTCATGGGCATTTGTCACGTCCCCTAGTTTCAGAAATACAGACCTGTGAAGCACCACAGAGCCCTGACAACTGAAAGTCACCTCCCCAGGAGGCTGTCATCCTCCACCTCCCTTCTTCTCTTTGAAGGGAATTATGAATGACCAGCAACGTTGGAAGAAGCACTTACTGTACAGAAAAAGAATGGTTACCACCCCATTGACCTTACAGCCCATCTGTGGCAAGCAGCAGCAGAAGTTGCCCTTCTCTGTATGATCTTGGGAAAACCTTTCACCTTGTTTCAGTATCCATTTCTTGACTCTTTATCCTGCATGAGGATAGCAATGCCCATCCATCATACTCCAGTGAGAGTACAAAGATAATGTTCATAGAGTGCTTGGCATGGGACATTTATTCATCCAGCAAGAATTGACTGGATGCCTGTTCTTTGCAGACACTGTGATCATCACGAGAGAGAGAGCTGTAAGCAGATGTGGCCCCTGCCTTCCTGGAGCTCAGAGCGTACGAGACAGACACCGAAACAAAGAAAGAAGACAAAGAAGGTGATTTCATATACTGGTAAGTTTAAACAGAGAAAAGGAATGTGATATTTGTAGGTGTGTAATGGTACCGGCTCACATCGGCATGGCTAGAAAGAGCTGTTTGTTTGTATTTCTTCCCAACTCTCCATTTAGTGACATCATGTGGGTGGGCTGAAACTGGCTATTGTCAAGGTGTTTATACCCAGGAAAACATCAAGGGCCAAAAATCAGGCTGCACCCACCCCTGCCTCTGAGAGCCTGTCATATGCTTACCCACAATCTGCTGGGAATAGCAGTGTATAATCTGGCATGGTCAACAGACAGGATGCTCAAGGCATCATGAGGAGATACAGTTTGGTTCGGAAACTTAACCCTTCCAGAGATCCAGGGTCAAAGCATTTCAGGCAAATAGAACAGCAAGTACAGAGACTTTTGAGGCTAAGCATGTTCAAGGCACGGATACACAGAAAAGGTAATTCATGATAGAGACTGTTTCTGACAAGATACTGAATTGGTGCTGTTGTAGGGAATGACCATGGTTGTGAGCTTCTAGGTGTTCAATATGTGACATTAATTTTCAAAACTGTCTTATGATGCAGATAATCTAGGATCCAGAAGATTCCATTAGCCGATGCAAGATAAGCTAACACCAAGTTATAACACTGCTAGGGCTTGACTTCAGCTAATCTTTACAACAACCTCATTAGGCAAGTGAAGAAAAGGTTGCTTTATTCCTCAGCAACTGCCATGAATTAATGGGGAACCTGGAATTAGGACCTCGGTAGGGTTGGCTTCAAGGCCTGCACTGAGCTTCTAGCCTGTGTTGCAGTGAAGAATTTGGAGAGAAAGGGTAAGAGAGGAAAGGGAGTGTGCCAAGAATGCTGTGACAGACTTAGGAGGAGCATCTGGACTTAGGAAAACCCTGGAAACTGGATCAAAGATCAGGAATCTGGAGAAAGTCATTGCCAAAGAGGAGCTGTATCATGGTGATGACAGCCTGAAGACACCCTTGGCTTACATTTGCCTAGGAGGGTGTCAGTCCCACTCTTGGCAGTACTTTTATCCTGGTTTGATCTTTGGCTTCTCTTACAGAAATTAACTATTTGTGGGCCTGAAATCAACAGATTTCAGAGACAGATATTGAAGAGCTTTCTTCCATAGTGACTTCAAAATATCCTGGCCACCTATGTAAGAAGTATTCTAATTAGATATTATATATCACCAATTTTAATGCTTAAAAGATTAAACTTTGATCCCACTGAAACAGTTTTTCCTTACAAATGGATATAAACACTTCGTATAAAGTTTTCTCCATTTTTTTCTACTTTTAAAAAATATTCCCATTATTGATACATGAATGATTTTATTATGTTTTTATTGACTTTTTTCATTACTAAAGGGTACATCTAGAACATTTAGTAGCATCATGTGGGTGGGCTGAAACTGCCTGTCAGGGTGTTTTTACCCAGAACATCATCAAGGGCCAAAAATCAAGCTGCATCCATCCCTGCCGCTGAGAGCCTGTCATATGCTTACCCACACTCTGCTGGGAATAGCAGTGACAAGGATATTCTGGGATGGTTAATAGATAAGATGCTCAAGGCTCAATGAGGAGATAGAATTTGATTTGGAAACTTAACCCTTCCAGTGACCCAAAGTCAAAGCTTTTTTAACTTTTTTCATTACTAAAAGGTACATCTAGAATGTAGTGTTAATGTTTAATATTCTGTGTCATCCAGTCCATAGGGAAAGGTGCTTAAATGTCCAGGGACGTTTTCTAACATGAAGGGTTTCTGTTTCTTGGTATCGTAAATGAGTAATTTTGTGATAGAATTTCTAGGATGTGAAAATAATACTCATTTTTATATTCAAACCATGCTTGTAAAATAGGTCTTGTTATTCCAGTAAATAGGATCACATTCAAATACTTCTCATCTCAATTATTTGCATTTTTTTCAATTAAGGAAACAAATTAATAAGAATATTTCAAGCAGATGGGAGGGTAGGAAGGCAAAAGAAATAGGATCCCTGGCACCTGTTACTTAATGTTATTTAAATATATTTGCTTTTTTTCCAAAGTAGGGTATCAGTTTCAAGTATGAGGAAAATAAAATCTCACTCCCATCTGCTCCAGACAGAGGCATTTTTCTTGGAGGGAAGGATGAGGCTCAGGATGAGGTCGTGTGTATAGAGCTGCAGGAAGCAATAAAGGACAGTGGTACTGAAAGTAAATGAAGCCTAGGGAGCATGCCCGAGGACCCACTGCCTTTGACCGTGTGTTTTTTCCGTGAGGAAATACTGAACCTAATGCACATGTCTGTTGATAGTTTAAAAAGACATCTGATCCTACCTGAAATGCAGATCTTTAAAGGAGAACTGAGTTTCAATGATTCCAGTAGTTTTCACTCGAGAATGCAGAACGTCTTGCTCATTTGGGACATATCCAGGAGCTGCTATTCTGTCCAAATCATTCAGGTAGCTAATTAAAAAAATAGCATATATATTTTTAACTGTGTATTTGAAGATACCAGGATTCAGTACAAAGTGAATTTTAGTTTTGAGTTCATTAACATTATCAAACTCTAGACTGATACTTTTCCAGCTCTGCTCATCAGAATTACAAGAGCTTGGTGGCTGTGATGTGAATGTGGCAGAGAGCTGAGTGTGACACACAGCTGACTCATGGAGTCTCTTTTAAAGGTGGCTGGGCCGATACTGCCTGAGCTTGTATTTTATGAGGTGGATGTGGTAGGTTTGCTGGTGTTTAGATAGGCATTGAGAGGAAAGCTCTCCTTATAGGACTTAGATCATCCAAAAAAATGCTACCTTGTAATGGTGGTTGCTAGACTAGTCTCGAAATGGTGTAGTTTCTGTTTAGGCACTTAGAATTTTAAGAGAGTGATGGATTTTAATAACATAATTTGAAGGAGGTCGTGTTGTTTCTCCTGGATTGTATAGCTTAGGAGTCTGAACCATTTTCATTAAGTCTCATGATTATATCCAGTGAGGTTAATAATAGAAGAACGTTTTGACTTTCTTGCTTGTTCATGCTGGAATTAATTCATGAAATTGCTGACTCATGCCTGAATCAGCACTCCTGGGGACTAAAAGCTGAACTTACACATTGTAGCCACTCCTATCTCCTCTTCTCTCTCATCAGTGCATCAGTGTCTTTAACTCTTCTCCAGAGGCCATGTTTAAAATACCTATGGTTATCAGGCTCAATACTGTCCCTTTTCTGCCTGCAGGATCTAGGGGTGGTGAGAGGCAGGAGTAAATCTGATGAAGCATATGCTCTAGAAGAGTCTGCTAGATTAGAGGAAACAAACTGCTTTTAGCTTCATCCTGCAAACCAGATCATGTCTTTAGACTAAAACAGTGTTCTATTGCTTTAAAAAAACAGTCAAAACCACTTGGTCTAGACTTTTGATAATGAGGACTTAGGAACTTAGCAATAGGACCATTTCTATGAAAATGTTAAAAGGTACAGCAATAGCTAGGTAAGGTTTTTATGACACGCTTAGCCATTATATTTAACAAAGTTTATACATACAGCTTAGATAGAAACATCATGATGGGTATGCATCCATTCAGGCAGACTTTGAGAGGTAGACTCAGGCTGAATGTTAATTATTATTGAAAAGTTGAATTTTTCGGGGACTAATTAGAAGAGCTGGTAGGCCTTAGCACCTGGCACAGTGCCTTAAAAACTAAATTATTTTTTCAAAATAAATTCAGCAGCAATATAGATGACTTATTCTTGGAGGATCTTTCTGTTTTTAAGCTGTGATAAGCTAAGACTTGTGAAGTGCCCAAAGGGATTTTGACCAAGGACAAATAGATACTTCAGAAACACATAAGTTTAATGTGAAAATTCATCAGTATGTTTTATTCAAATAAAATTTGATTTTATTTTAAAAGACAAATCAAGATATCCATAGAAGAAAGTATTTGAAGATTTTTCTAGTTTATTTATTTTTATTTACTATTTTGTGAGGCAAGGTCCTTGGTGAATTCCCTGTTAATCGATTCAGTCTGCACATATGGTAGTTTACCATTGGTCAGTTGGTTTATGCAGGAGCCAATACAAAACAGAAACATACCTGCCATGACAGATATTAAATTCATTTTAATGCTAGCTAAATGAATGCTTTGTTAAAGACACATTTTAGTGTACTTTTATTTGCATGTTTAAATAATTTCAAGCAAACAGAAGTGTCAACAGAGTGAGAAATTTGCATTTAAAATGCTTAGTTTAATAAACAAATATAGAATTTGGGTGCTTAATCCTGTGGTCTAAAACTTAAATCAAACCAGAGGCCCTAAATACACATAGCTCAAATCACTTTAAAAATATCTGATTCTTTTTCTAATCATGTAAGAATATTTTTCCTGGTGAAGTCTGTGTTAAATCTTAAAGCATATGGAGTTTAAATCATACACTAGGCAACCCCAATCAGCAAACCATGAAGTATTAAGTAAAATCTTTCCCACTGTCACGACACTTTTCTCCGGTTTGCTCGTACTGCTTGGGGGGAGGGGAGGTAACATATTACCAGCAAACAACATTCCCTTCCCTTACACTGATCAGAACTCACCTCTTTGTTGGCCTCAACTTAAAGGATCTCTAAGTTTGAGAGGATGAAAAATATCTCACTTTCACAAAAAAAATGGATAAATAGATGAATGAATGGATGGAAGGAAGGAAAGAAAGAAAGAGGGAGGGGAGGTAGAGAAGAAGGAAAAGAGAGACCACTGTCCTGTTTAATACACATGAAATAAACATGGCTATGGTATCAAGCTGATACTATATGTAATTCTTCCATGTGAATATAATTAAGTATTTGAAAAAAAATTTGGATGAAAGCCATGGCCATGCAGCTATTTTCTTAGCAAGCTTTTACATAATCTTCCTTTTAAGGATCCCTAAGGGCAAAAAAAAGTTAACATTTCCATTTTTTGATTTTTATATGAAAACTTTCTTAGACACAGAGGGAGGAAATCAACTTTCCTGTTGTTATTCTACTGCCTTTTACAAATCTTTGTTACTGGCAACATTCATAAAACGGATGCAAATAGATATTGTATAGATGTGTTTAGCTTGAAGAACAGATAAATATTTTTAATATGAATCTATAATGTGACAGTCACAGTAAAATTTTTTTATAAAAAAGATTTTTATATGTCAAAACAAAAAAGCTAAAATTAAAGATTAGGAAGTCTAGAAAATATAAAAAGTCATTTTATCTGCCCATTTTGGCTATACAATATGTTAATATTTTTGCTATCAAAGAGCAAAGAATTTGGTAAACAATGATAACATAATTGCAAATACATTTCTTACATAATTTTAAGGGAAATTTTGTGTAATCAATAAGGTGTATCTAAAATTAAATATGTTAATTACAGGTATCTATCCTTCTCACTCTTTCTCCCTAGAACTTTGTGAAGCAACATTTTATGAGAATATTCCACAAGTCAGTTTCTTATTAATTGTGACTGCCTTTATCAGTGATTCATATAGAAAAGCATTGTTTTTTGTACTAAGAGTAGTATTAAGATGTGCTTATTAAGCAGTTGCACACTTATAAAAACAGTTATCCAAGTTGAGGTACTCATTTTCCACTTCATTAGAGAGGCAAGAGCAGGACTTTCCTACAACATCAATATGGCCATTGGATTTCGAAATTGAAAATGAACACGAATGAGTAATCACAAAAGACCATTGTTGTCAGGTTTTCCTAGAATTTATATAGTGTGTTTTCTCTCCATTATCCTTCCACACATCATGATTAAAAATCTGAAGTATCAGGGGAATGGTATAGCTCAAAGTGCTAGAGCGCATGCTTAGTATGTACGAGATCCTGGGTTCAATCCCCAGTACTGCCTCTAAAAAAAATAAATAAGCCTATTTACCTCCCTCCCCCGACCCCTCCTCAAAAAAAATCTGAACTATCATGTAAGTTTTCTTGTTCTGTCCTCACATAATCTTTCATTTGTTTAACTTTAACTTTACTTTTTTTTTAAAGTACTGCTAGCATGTTCTGTTGGGAGTCCCTCAGAAGAACTGTATCCCCTTTTACACATTCATATGTAGCACCAGAAATAGAGAATAAGTCATTAAATTATGTTTACACATGTGTGCATACATGTTTGCAGGCATATAACCATGGGATAGGTTAAGAACCACTTACTAAAATGGTTTAAATCATTTAAAAATCATTTTGATAATGAAATTATAAACATCATTACAATCTCCTCATTTCCTTAGCTAAATATTGCTAACTGGCTGGTATTAGTTGTGAAAATTATATAATCTTTCTTGAGACTCAAGAAGAATCCCACAATATACAAATGCTTTTTAAATCAATACATTACTTTCTTCTAAAATTCTATCTCATGCTCATCAAGCCAGTGGAGCCAAAGCATGTGTCATAATTATTTTAGAAGATGATTTCAATAACTTGGATGTATGTGAAGGGAATAGCCCAAAACCTCAGTGTGCACGTCACTAGTGTGTGTTCATGCTGCATGTGGTGCCTAATGATTAAATCTTTTTAATTGGGAGAAAATATTTAGAACATATATGTCTTCTCAGACAGTTTCAAAATCAGTTATTTAAAATGCTCCAGTTATTTACATCATCTTGATCTTTATTTCTCTTCAGTTACTGTTTATTTTAGTATAATCAAATGTAAAGCTGTTTACTTTCATCATTTGTGATTCAAATGCAGAGTATATAAAGTGATAATTCTTAGATGTAAATGTTTCAACTATATAGTTCCTGTCAAAATGTATTCACTTACTAAGCTGCTGAGTCGTTGAGCTGATATTCAGATGCCCTTTCAAAGCAGGCCTGAATTCCTGGGTCTCTCCACAGTCGTTTTATTATCTCAGCCAGTTCAGGTGTCATACCACCATCTTCCAGGGTATCTGCCATCGCATAAAGTTGTTGTTGGTCTTCCTACAGTGTAGTATTTGTGAGAAGGATAAAAATGTGCTGTTATTTGGGATTACATATTATCTCCTTTTTTTAAAATAGAGCATTTCAATTTTGTGATTCTTATCTTCATTTAGTAATAAGTTCATTAAACATCTGTTTAGTATGTCTAAAGGTTAACAGAACTCAAGTTCCTTATAATGGCTGACTGTCCAGAAAAGTTGTTCATTGCAAAATCCATGAAATAATATGTGGAGAAATTAGGATATTTTGGGATATGTTACTAACTTCTGAATATGATGTCCAAAGGGATGACAATATTTTGGTGTAAGTCCATTGAGCTTCCATTGGACCAAAATGCTCATGTTAAAAAATGGTGAATCTGATTTAATTTGGCACATTGTCTTCCTTTGATCACAACCATGTATTTTCCAGGAAATAAAAATACCACATAAGAATCAGGTAAAGATGGAAATTAAAGCTCAATACACTAAAATTACAATTTGAAAAAGTATATTGATATACAGTATTATTTGCCATCACATGCCTCTCTATAATCATAAAAATTAGCAATGGTAAACATTTTAATCTACACACAATTTTCTACCTTCTACATAGGCATTGTCACTTGCGTGCCTTTGGGGCAAATCAATAGCAGAGGGGAGGCTTCATTAAGAAAAGAAGAGAAGGGAAGGAAGATAGGGGGAAGAAGGAATGAAAAAAAGAGGAAAAGAAAAAGCAAGCTTTGTGTTAGACCTGATGGAATATTTGGAGGTGATAAGGGCAGAAGGAAATAAAAGTTTGAGAAAATAACATAGTCTACAGTTCATTTAAACTAATAATCAAAACTGGCTTATGTCCCCCCAGATATTAGGATTAAGGATTTGGGTTTCAGAATAATTGAGTTATTGACCATGATACTAGACCAGGCAAATGAAGAAACCTGGGCTCACATCATGGTGGTCAGACTCCGAAGTCCATTCTCATTTTTGCCCACACTCTTTTTAGTGCATATTATTATAGCAGCTTACACATTTACCACATGTAATATCTCAACAATCCTTACAACATCATCACATATAGACACTTTATTTTCTCCACTTTACAAATGAGGAAACTAAAACTGGGAGGTAAATTTGCCAAATCAATAAAGACAATACGCATCAGAAGAAGAGTCAAACCCAAACCCAAACATTTTCTGCAAAGTCAGGTAGCCACCAGTGAAGTATGTCCAATAAGAATGTGATGCTCTTCTGCTACAACTTCATTTATTATTATTTTAAATCGATGACAGGCTTATTTTACCATTTTACTAAATATCTGCTCTTTATATGAAAAACTAAGGGTATCTCTGTTACTGTTAAAGAAAGTCTCCATTAAGACTAAGAACCTTATTTCATCTTTCTTCACCAACAGATTTTATTGCCAAATAAAACTGATCACATAACCAGGAGGCCAAAAATTGGAAATGGTCCAAGTGAAAGGCTTTGACCCCATTTCATTGCATCAGCACAGGGTAAACTTTAAAATCATTCTTCCCCATTAGCTGGATGTGAGAGAAAACTGCAAATTAGTGAAATATGATCTGGCCTCTTTTGCTGGCATCATCCTGTTTGCCTCCTTCCACATTCAAGTGCTCTTTAGGACAAATGATGCAATGAAACAGCTGCTCAAACATTTTTGTCCCTAAAGGGAAAATGCTACATGCCTTATATAAGCCTACCTTTCCAAACCAAGCTGTTATGGTCTCTTTCATTCTTTTTAAAATTTCCCATTTTTAATTTAAATACACTTTATTTGTATAGATGTCATGAATATAGTCTCACCTTGAACATTTAAATGTTGTAAAGGCCTCTTTGATCATCCCTTACAGTTACCTTCCCCAAGGGCAAGCCATCCTGTCAGTTTGGTTTTTATCTTTTGAGACCTTGTATTTTTTGGTGTACTGCATGAGTAGGTGGAGTTGATGGTGGTGATTTTCAAACCAGGCTGTACATTGTAAACATGTGGGTTGCTTTTTTAAAATATTGCTACCAGGGCCCTATCCCAAAGGAAGTGAGTCAGAATCTCTGGGTGTCAGATTCTGCAAAGGTATTTTTAAAAATTTCCCAGGTGACTCAAATGTGCAGCCTAAGTTGAGAATCCCTGGCAACAAACTGTTTTGTTTTTTTTTAAACTGTAAATAATGTCTTATTGGACATACTACAATTCAATGCTTGAAGTCCTTCTACAGTTATCAAAGGGCTGACGGTCATTTAAGGAGTCAAATTTTATGTGTTTAAGGGATTGGCCCATCAATCAGATTTGAATCAAATTTGAATTTTTGAAATACATCCCACTGAAACAGCTACTATGAAAAGTTCTACAAAACAGCCACATTGATTGAACAGTGAACTCCTACTGATTAGCTTACTCCCATATTTAAAAATAAAATTCCAGTAACTTCTCACCAGAACTGTTCTTAGATTGTTCCTTGAACTCACCAAGCCTACATTTCAGAGCATTTGAATGGCTGATCCCTCCACATCTTTCCTTTGAACTTTCCTTCCTACTTCACTCACTTTTCTTCCCAAATACTACCTCCTCAAGGATGCCGTCCCCACCACCCTTTCTTTAATTCTTTCATCATTTGCTAGACCTTTGACCTCCTTGATTTTTCTTCATAGCTCTTTATTACTACCTATATAGCGCATAGTTCTTTATATCTTTTATATTAGACTATAAACATAGGAAGATGGAGATCTTGTTTTGTTTATTTCTATATCCTTAAAACTAAGAGCAGAACCTGTAACATAGTACATCTCTGAAGTATTGTTGAATGAACGATTCAGTGAAATAAATATGCTAATTAGCTCAGACCTCATGTTCAAGAGAAACTTTAAGGCATGTCTAATAATTTTCCAAGATTTTCAGATGATTCCAATGGGGTTTAAGTGGTGTCCTAAGGAAATTTTATTTCCATGTGATGTGTTCGGAAACGCTTGGGAATTAAGATGGTTCTAGAATGGCTTATTCTCTTAAGGTTGCATCGTTCTAGAATTGAGTTGCATAGAAGACAAAATATATATTTCTTCCAGAAGTTATCCAGACTTTCCTCATCAATATTAGTGACATAAGATAATCCTAAAACCTTGTAGAACTCATTCTGAACCCTAGAATCGTATTTCCAAAGATTGCAAAAATATATATATATCAAAGGAAGGAAAGGTGATCATAAGCTAGTAATTTCCAGAAATGCCAGGTTTAAAATGACAAATTTTGTTAACTACAGGATTTTCGGCACCTTTGATTACAAATATTGTTGGTGAATTTCCAAGAAGTTGATAATAGTATACATATATCCCAAACTTGATTATAGAACTTTTATCATAGAACATCCTAGGAAATCAGAGTTCTTTAGTTCAAATTGTAGGATTCACTTTGTATGGTGCTATGCCAGAGACAGTCACAACACCCAAAATGTGTGAATAAGTGTTACCATTTTCAGCCTTCTTTTATGTTGGTCTAGTGAATGTTTTAGGTATTCTAAAATAGAATATAGTAATATTCAGAAAGATTAAGTAGAAACTTACTAAATGCCTTCATAATTTCCTCTTGTTGTTTCTTCAACTTTACTGTTTAAAAGTTTTATATTTAACAAAAATTTTTAGAACATTTATTTTTTCTACAACTTATGTTTAGGAGTTTTATATTTTTTAAATTAGTCTATCAAACATTAAACCAAAATGAATGAGAACAATCCCCCTTCAACTATAGATTCTCTCTCTGTCTCATTCTCCTCAGCTCTAGTTCTTAAACTCTGTTCTCATATCTTTTTATTTCTCAAAACCCTTCATTGGATTCTGAATTCACAGTTCTTTGGTACCCTCTTCCATGATCTCTGTATTATTAAATCCATTAGATTCTCTAAAATATACTTCTTTCTTGACCTTTCACGACCTTTCAACTTAGATCACTTCCCTTTGGAACACTTCTCTCAAATTCTATGATTCTGCATTCTTCTGGTTTTCCTCTTACTATTTGCATCCTCTTCTCCAAAGTTTTCTATCCCTCTCAAATGACCAGAAAAGTCAGAATTTTTCAATACTGTTAACTTAACTCTCTGTTTTCCTTAATGCCCCTGTCTTCTCAATCTAAGCACTTGACCTCTTCCATCCCACCCACTTCCTTAGTGTACAATATATGCCATAAGGTACTGATCTGCCAAAAATACTGAAATTTAAAATTTAACTGAAATATCTCCTGTTTACTTCAAATGAACCTTCTCAACTGTTGATAACGTGTGGATAGCTCACAGAATTACAAACTCAACATTTCTGAAGGGAAACTTACTAGTTCTGCTCCTTCCTCACTAGTGATAGTCTTCCATTTCTCAGTGATTGCCTCTACAGATGAGGAAGATTTAGCTCCACATCCAGCTGTGCCACCCTTTTGAAATAGCTAATGCTTTATAGTTACTTGTTCAACATCAGTCTTCTCTGAAGACTGCTGATTCCTCAGTATATTCTCAGAGGCCAGTCACATGTCTGCCATATATATATTAGTTTTATGAAAAATAACCTTTTCAAGTGATTTTGGACATGTAAACTTCAAAACATACATGTTAATGAGCCTACATTCAATGTGGTTATTCAAAAGTAATAATACCTAATATTTACCAGGAGCTTATGTCTTTTAATATTTTGTGTTTATGTGGATTTTTTTTTTTGCAGTCTCTTGTAATAGTCACTGTAATTTAATGAGGAAAGCACTAACATTTTGTGGATGAAAAAACTGAAACTTAGAGAGGTTAAATACCTGGTCCAAACTTACAGCGTTAGTGACCAATAAAGCACATATACATTTTCTGTTAGGACTCTTTCTCTCTTTGAATGGCCGTCTGTGTGATGCTGTACAAACAGTTATGTAAAAATATATAAACTGTGAATGAATCCATTGAAAACTAAATTGAAAGCCATTGGACTCTGAAAGCCACACATAAGTAATGTGTGTAGCAATTAATCTGTTGAATAAACAGTTTAGGCCAGGTAGACAATGTATCAATCCTAAAATAAAATATGAAGAATGTGATTGAAACTGCTATAATCTCCATTAATTGAAATTAAAATAAGAGCTAAATAGTCCCTGACCACTGTGATGTTGATACTTGAGGACACAAGGTACTCCTCGGAAGTTATGTCGCTTGCTTAGTGCTTCTTAAGTTACTCTGTGTACACCATTTAACGTACAGTCTGAATAAGTGACATTTAGTTGTATTTTTCAGTTAGCATAATGGCAGCAATGTACAGTCTGTTTTCATTCTACCTGCATGCCAGATTGTTAAGACTCTTAACCGACAAAATTCTGGTCTTTAGTGATGGCTGGCATCACTGATTTGCAAACATTGTGCTGCATGATGCACAAAATACATTTAAATAAGTAGCAGTAGGAAGAGTTGCAATGCAAATACAGACTATTACACATGCAAATTCAAACTTTGCTAAATAATCCTCAGAGGAATGCAGAAGGAAACCTGTTTCAGGAACAATTGTTCCTTGAAAGAAAGAAAATAAGACAAATATTCCTAACTTTCAAAAGTAATTTTACATAAACCCTTGCATAGGGCAAAGCACTATGTTAGAAGTCAGAAGAAGTGGATTTTGCCCTAAACTCTAGCTGTTTAAGGAAGGCAAAATCTAATCCTCCATTTTTTACATGTTTATATAAGGGGGTTATTCTAGATTATCTCTTAAGGGCCAGTTCAAAATTCTAGGTTCTTAGAAAAAGCCAGGATCAGAGCAGTAACTGAACTACTCTTAAACAAAACTATGGACGCTAAGTCATAGAATGATAAAGGTCAAAAGGATATTAGAGTTCAATTCTTGCAAATTCCTTTTTTTACATGTGAGAGGGAAACTGTAACATGGAGAATTAGTGGACTTTGCAGAGCCAAGTTTTGGGGAAAGCTAACAATGGGGAGAGCCCAGCAGAACTCCTGACTCTGCTTTACAAACTGTCTGCCCCAAGGACATACTAGCATTTCCATGTTCTTTGCTGGCAAGTGGCAGAATCAAAGGGAATTTAGCAACATGAAAAAGATAGTTTTCTTTTCATCTTAATGGCTTCTGATGGTCATCCACTGGGGCTAATCATAAATTCCTGGCGGGGTAAAGTACAAATATCACCTTCTTCTCTTTATGTACTCCACCGTTCACCTCTGTTTTTATGGTTAGTATAGCAAAGAATCTAAGAATTACTTTGAGAACAGTTCAATTCACATCATCCAGAGGCAACCAGCTGCTCCTGGAGGGGACAAAGGGAAATGGGTGAGTTCTTTCCAGGGATAGTATACTCCTTTTGGGGTATGGTTAACTATCGTTCTTTGCATAGTACGACTGGTTTTATTTGCCAACTAAAGTAGTTTTATAGGTTTGCACATAAATTGTTTCAAAGTAAGTGGATTTTTAATGTATTTTAACATAAAACATTATATTACAGAATATAAAATAGATGAAAAATGAAACTATTTAGATGCTACCTTAAAAACAAACTATGACTATTTGTGTCATATAGTATACAAATGTTTTATTTAATCACACAATTTTAAATTGTTTTTAAAAAATTAACTTTACAAAATAATCATTTCCCTGTGCCACACAGTCTTTGTAATTATCATTGAACATGAATGATAATTATAGTGTTATTGTTAAAAAAAAAAAGCCTCCATGAAATGGCTCATAGTTAACTAAGAAAATAAATGTAGATATCGCAGTTGATTTTATGAATGAAACTCTTGTATTTAGCAAACATAAATATTTTTTTCTAACATAGTGTATTTAATATTAGGATTGAGTCCTAGGAAAGTAGTTCATGTTAAATAAGTTTATAGCACACAGACAAAAAGAAAAGTTTCATTTAAAGGAAAATAGGAAATCTGACACTGAACAGAATTAATGTTTCCAAAAGTCATATTTCAGATTCTTAAATTTTTGGTGTAGATTAATACTACAGATTTACTAAGTCGCACTGTTTGGTGGTTCAGACTCCATTGTAGGGCCTACAGCTGTCATTATTTGCATACTTACTGCACTTCTGGGATTTACATAATCAATCCCAAGGGTAGCCATGGCTTTCACAATAGCTAGGATGGATTGCAATGTATTACTGTAAATTACTGCTTTGAACTCCATGCATTCTTGTTCACTGTAACCATTTTTATGGATGATCCTGTAATTTAAACACGAAAAGCTTTTGTGAGTTGAACAATTGATTTTTTTTTAATAGTACTAAAACACATCAATAATAACTTGCTTGAATAAAATTACAGTATGTAATTGTTAGAAAAGGAATAATTTTGTCCATATGTATAAACTAAATCTGAACAATTTTACAGCTTTGGATTTTTATTTTCATTGGGGTTTAATGAATATTTTCTTTCTGATCTCCTAACGCTGAATACAATGAGGATTTAGGATTTGCTCTAGATAAATCCGTGTAAAATGCGTAATTAATGAGCTTTTTACGTAGCAAGGTTATTTCTTTTCAAGAGAAAGATTCCCAGATTCCTTGGACAAAGATATATACAGAGTTCTGAAGCATTTTGTAGTGTTTACAACATGATGTCTAGAGGATGTGAAGTAATTTAGTGTAACATGGACATCTTTTCCTATCACTTAAGACACAGGAAAATAGGAGTGCCTGCTTTCTATTTATAACAGTAACAAAGGCATTTTTTTTTTAATGTAGGTAATTGCCCTCTGTTAAGTCCCTTGTTGCTTTTCCACATGTGTACGTGCCACGGATTTCTCAGAGTTGAAAGTGCCTAGACATTCAACTTGGCTGAACTTTTCATTACCTTCCACTCATTCAATCAGAATGCAACGTTTTACTAATAGTTTGGGAATACGCAGCTATTAAAAGCTAAAGTCTTTGTATATGCTGATCACTTCATTGCATAATATGTTCTGACTCCTTTCTGGTTTTTTTCTTATTGTTTTTAAAAGTGGTGTGTGTTCATTAGGCATCATTTAGATGACATATGACTAAAGATTTGTGTTATATCCAGGTACACAGAGGCTCTAGCACAAGGGGAAAAAGAACACAAATGCCTTCCAAGATACTAAAGCCTTTAAATAAAAGGACTCTCAGTGAAATGAGTAAAGGCAGTACCTGTATCTATTATTTATTGTTTTTGATATTTGATTGCCAGTAATTGCTCTATTTCTGCTTCAACCATGGCGCTAAGCTATACTACATCCCTAGTATGCTAGTCTATACAACTGCAAAAGTTCAGCATTTCTGAAGCAGAGAGTAGGAAGGGGGAAACTATGGGGCATTAAGATGAAGAGATAAGCAAGAGCTGAACAACTCTGAAGTGTCTTATTTACCATGTCAAAGAGTTTGATCTTGACAGTATAGGTGAAGAGTTCAATTTAGGAAAGAGAGAAACCATATTTTTAGAGATCAGTTGGTTGCAGTGTGCATAATGCAGTAGTACGAAGAGGGAGGAGATGGAAAGTACACAGCAGGATTAGTATTAATAGTCCAGGTCAGAAATGCTGAGCTTTTGAACTATAGCAGTGACAATCGGGTTAAGTGACATGCTTGCAAACATAACTTGTGTAGTTGTGGCATAACTTGGTGAGAGAGTGAGGGATCAGTATAACTACACTTAGTTGTATTCCTTTAGAGCCTGGTTTGCTGTAATTTATTTTAGGGGAACAGAGGCCAGATGGGGAGATAAGTTTAATGTTTATTCTGATTTAGGCGTCTCCTTGGAATATAGAGGTGTATCTGCTTCTCTAGTTTAGACAAAGGGTATGAGTTGGAAAGAAATATTCTGGGACAGTCCACTTGAAGATGATGGTAAAAATCACTAGACTTCAGTGATTTTCATTTGATGAAGGTATAGAGTAGGCAGAGAAGAGGACCTGGTGCATTAGAGACACCAACATTAAAGATACAGTCAAAAACTGAGAGTACAGCAGGCAGAATTAGGTAGTAAATTGGGAAAGAGAGTTATGGTAGAAGCCAAGCTAAAGTTTTGGGAGAGAAAAGCTCAATGGAGTCAAAGGGAATTAAAATAAGGACTCATGAACACTTCATAAAAAATGGGAGGAGATTATAACTGGACAATTTCTGTGATACACCAGAGGCAACAGTGATAGAAATGGTTGAAGAGTAAGTGGAAGGAGTTCAAGAGAGCTAGTGTCAACCTGTCTTTACAGAGACTCTATTGAGAAAAGGAAAGAGGAATGGGGCAGGATGGGAGATTGATTCTTTTTTAATAACAGAAGTAGCACTTGCTTATTGTAGACAATGTGAAAAGCACAGCAATATTCAAAACATAGGTGTAATGTCACTTTAAGTCCTACTACTGACAGCAAATTGTTTCAACATTGGCTATATATTCTTCCATTAAAAAATTATTTAATCACAGTTGGGATAAATTTATTCATGCAATTTTGTATCTTGGTTTTTCAGTTAACGTAAGTGTATTTTTATTAAAACATTCTCATATACATGTAACTTGTAATGAACACAAAAGATTGCAGTT